TATTCTCTTATAAAATCACAGTTTTGATTAAATGTATTTTCCACTCTTCCTTGTAACTTTTGTACATGGTTATAATTCACAAGTCTTTTTTTTGTGTGTCATTTTGTTCACTTGTTGCAGTAAAGTACTTTATGACCTTTTCTTGTCTAGTCATTATGGATGACGTCAGAGTTTTGAACTAAGTGGAGAAGATGAATCATTTGGGTGTTTCGTACACAGGAATGTGGGCAGGGTGGAAGTCTTGAATAATGTTTAACTAAACATACCCTCCATAGGAAGTATCTGTAAACTTAGAAGTATTCCTAAGGCTGTTTATCAGACTGAGATAACATGTGAGCAATTCTACTATCACATAACGGGATAAACACTGTTCATTTGTTTCTGTATTTTGATTAATAAAAAGTCAATCACAATTTGTCATTATGATTTATTTTACTATCTAAACAGGAATTTAAATGTATTTTGGTGATTTTTAAATGTTATTATTTCCTGCAGATGATGCCGTATGATCTTCCTCTTCACTCTGGAATATTACCACAACTCGTCATCACGATAGAAGCAGAGCCTGTTCCCGGTGCAGAAAGGTATACACACTTTAAATATGTTATTATGCTGTTCCCACTGATTTATTTGTTTATCAAATTCAAATTGCTTTATTTATTTTCAGGTTTATTTTTAATTGTGTTTTCAGAGTTTTTATTTTTTATTGTGAATAATGTCGGTACCTTTTACGTTTAATTACCTTTTATTTTTCTTTATTTTTTTGGTGTGATTTGTAGTATCACTTTCTATGATGCCCATTTCTATAATGCACTATAATCTTACTTAAAATATAATGCATTGTAGCAATATGTACGGGATGATGTGCAGCGAGGCGCTCATTCTGGGGAAAAGAACACCCGACAGGCTTGTCAGCATGAAGGTGTTCTTTTCCCCAGAATGACCAAGTCGCTGCACATCATCCCGTTTATTACATGGCCACATTCTCAGCAAAGTAACAATATGACTCCCAATATTAATTGAAATGTTTTTATTGATTTAAAATGACATGCATCTGCTAAGAAAAATTGTCCGTTGTTACCGTTTGAACTACGTAGCAACGGCAGGAACTGCTTCGATAGCGTTGTTGATTACAGATTTGAAAACATCGTTGCTTGCTTTAAAAGTAGCACAATTAATTATGTCAAACCTTGGGAAGTATCTAGATATCCCTGCCCTAAAGCCAAAGGAACTGGCAACTGAATATGTGTCGCCGTTTGATGTCTATGTCTGGACCGCTGCGTAAAAAGGAGGGTTTCTGCCCCGTTACTTCTCCGCTGTTTTCTTGTCACATTTTGAAAACGGGGCCAAACTGACCCACAAAGACTTCTTTGTGCAGATGTAAGCGTCCTTAACAACGGTCAATAAGTGCTGGACAGGTCTGTCCGTTCTGGATAACAACGGGTCACGTGTTCTGAATTGACCAATCAGAATCGAGTATTCAACTAAGCCATGTAATAAATCTAATACAATATTTATAAAGAATTCTATCTATTATTTGCGGTCATTTGTATGAAAATCGTATAGTTATAATGATATTACATGTATTAAAAAAGCTGTATGTTTAATTCTTGTGTTAAACTGCTGTGTTGGGTCTTGACTCTTTTTTAAATGGACATTTCTTTAACTTGATTGTAAGGAAGTTGCCTGAATTGATAACAGATTGTTGTTGGCAGTGAATTGAGGCTTCTCTTGAGCACAATTAAAACAATCTTTTAAAACAAGTGATCATTTTCTGATTTCACCTCCTGCAGGTTCCAGGTTGACTTCATTAAAGGTTCAGACATCGTCTTTCACTTCAATCCTCGATTTTCCGAGCAAACCATCATCAGAAACTCCAACCTGGGGGGGTGTTGGGGCCCGGAGGAGCGGGACGGACACTTCCCCTTCGGACAGGGCCGCCGCTTCGAGGTAAAGGGTTTGAAATCTCAAAACATCCAAATATACTTATATTTCGTATTATTTTTGTACATAAAATGTCAATATCACTTATTTTTCCTTTTTCTATGATACATTACAGCGTTTGGTCAAGTGAGGGACACACATCATTGACAATATAACACAATATTTTAAACTGTGTTCACTTTTGGTTTAATACCTTAAACCGCAGACGTTCACTGACTCGAATAGACAGATATCTATTATTCCTTTTATCTGCTTGTATCCTTACCTTGCTGCTACAACACTGTATATTTCCCAACTGAGGGACAGATAAAGGCTTTCTGATTCTAATAACAACACAAGTAACATGAGTTCTCGCAACTATGATAACTCTAAAATTAGTCCAACAATTATTTTCCTAATTTGAGCCATCATGAATCCAAAGTTTCCTGCTCTCCACAAATAAGAAAAATAATATTCAAAATGATTTCCTGGTCTTTTCTGATGGAGGAAAACAAATGTTTTTTGGCCACAGCTGAAGTTTAATTGACCGGACTTCTTTCTGCGGATGGATTTGACTGCAAATAGATCCGAGCATCCTTAGCAGACTGATGATTGTCCAAATTGACCAATCAGAATCTAGTATTCATCTAACCTGTGTAATCACCTGGATTGTTGTTCTCAAGCAGGGGTGTCCAAACTACGGCCCGGGGGCCATTTTGAATCGGCCCTCAGCAAATAAAAAAAGTATAATGGAATACGGCCCACAAATGACACGTGTGCTTTTCTTATATTGTACTACTTAACTAGAAATGTAAAAATATATCACACAGTATTATTCATGTGTTAATGAGACCACTTTTCAAATAAATTCAGTCAATTAAAGTTGGAAAAATGTCTTGGTTGATAAGAAAAAAGCCCAATGACTTATTTACAAGCTTGAAATACACCCTTCATATTTCTCCTTATTATATCACTCTGAGGCTTCTGTTTTAAGGGATGCGCTGCCAACACTCACGAGCATCATTCACCTACATTGGATTGATTTAGCTAACTTAGAACTGAACTTATGATGCGATATACCTCTAGTGAGTGGCCCAGACCTTCGTATATTTTTCTGTATGTGGCCCTCGTGAAAAAAGTTAGGACCCCCCTGATCTAAAGTGTATTTTCTGCCCCCTTCAGCTGAAGATCCTGGTGGACGAGGACTGCTTTAAGGTGGCGGTGGACGGCTCCCACCTGCTGGAGTTCGAGCACAGAGTGGGGGGCATGGAGGAGGTGACCCTGCTGAGGGTGCAGGGGGACATGGTGCTCTACAGCGTGGCCCCCAACATGATCTGATCCCAGAGCTGCTACACACTCGCTGCTCCGGAGACCTGCACACACCCTTCCTCTGACGGAGGGTTCATAAGATTCAGAGAAGTGCTCACCTGGCACTCGTCGTTAGGCAGATTAACGCAGGTCTACACATGTTTTTTCTTTTGCTGGATGATATTAATTTTTAGTTTTTCTGCAACTCACAATCAGATATATTTTATGACTTAACAATAGTAAAGTAGTGAATGTAAAACAGGCTGTCTAAACGGACAGTTCACTCACTTATAGTGCTATTTATCAATTTAGATTAGTTTTAGTGTGAGTGGTTGAGATCCGAGGGAATGTACGCTCCGTTATACCTTTTGGTGTTTCCCCTCTCCTGAAGTGTGGTATGGTTTGTGTGCATGTAAGATCAAAATCAGGTCTGAGTTTATCGTAGTGGTTCTCAAAGCGTTCAAAAAATAAAAAACTCAACAGCTATGCCTCTTTCCAAAAAGTCATGATTGTTAATAAATATAACCCTCAGATTATGTGAGCCGTTTCATGTGGGGATCATTTTCTTTCTAACGTGTCACTACGCAGAAAGAAGCACCCGGTTTGGTGGGTGTAGTTTCGGTCGAAAGAAAATAGTTCCTCCTGTGACTGAAATCTTCAATTCTCTGCAACTCACACTTTAACTTTCTAGATTTGGATGATAAGCACTGAAGTTAGTCGAGAAATTGTTTCTAATTTTGTCGTGAACTTTCCCTTTTAGAAATAGTAACTTGTACCTAATAAAGAAATAGCTGGACCAATAGTTTGCTGTATTTTGGATCTGGATCAGCCTTTTAATGCATGAGTGTGCCTGAAACCTTTCCCCTCTTTACATTCAGCAGGTCAATAATGAAGTTTATTCAAATATATTTATACTCTGCTTTCCTCAGTATTAATCCTCCCGAGGGTAAGGTTTTACGAATGATTGATTTCATGTTGAAGTCTTAAAAAGCGAGCCTCAAATTAATGTTGCCAAAGATAAAGGTGGAACAATATTTTTGAGATAATGTATGCTAATAAAGATAAAGGGCAACAAATAAAAAAGGACTGACTGTTTGATTCAGAGTATTGTACACTTTTCATGAGCTGCTTGCCTGTGCACTTAATAAATAATAGTTTCCCGGTTACGAATGTTTCTATACGGGTTTTATTTCTGTGCATTAGAAGAATCACACTGATGTCCTTTTTTTTGAGAATTTTGACTTTCTCTGACAATTCTGACTTTTTTTGTATAGATTTGGACTATTTTCAGAATTCTGACCTTAAACATTTATGAATTATTTTTTCAATTCTGACATTCTTATTTTAGAATTCAGACTTTTTTTCAGAATTCAGACTTTTTTTTAGAAGTCTTTTAGAATTGATCACTTTTCAGAAATCTGACTTTTTAGATCTTGACTTTTTTCAGCTTTCTGACTTTTGGGGGGGATTTATGACTTTTTTCAGAATCTGATGTTTTTTCAGAACGCTGACTTTTTTTAAGACTTCAGACATTTTCAGAATTATTTTAGAATTTTGACTTTTTTAATTTTTTATTATGACTATTGTAGAATTTAGGCGTTTTTTTCAGAACTTTTTAGAATTTTTAATTTGTACTCTTTATCATATTTCTACTCTTACTCAAGTAGAGGATCTGGGTATCTCTTCCACCTCTGGTAATATCCATTTATTGAAAGGTTTTCCTAGCAGTCCGGATTATTTTCTCATGCCTCTGTGATTCAAAGGTTCCGCCTCTGTCCGTCAGGCGGCAGCACATCCTCCGGAGGAAGAAAACGAAACTCCTCAATGAGTTCACCTTCGGATAAATAGTTTGTCCCTTCTTCTTCTTATTAAACATCTGTCTGCTATCTTTTACAACATGAACGGCTCCCTGCCATCCAACATGTTGGACATAAAGCTGAAGCGAGGCTCTGCGGGTAAGAAGACAACGGATTGAATACTCTGACGCACAGTTAGCATGTTAGCTTAGCTAAGTAGCAGCTACAAATCAACACTGTCAAACAGTGAAGCTAACGGCTAATGTGCGAATAAAACGTCATAATATGTGTTATAGTGCACTAAAACTGTTGGAGTGAGGTTGTTGAAGATAGTAAAACTATTGTGTGTTAGTTTAATTAAAGAAATAATGACTTAAGGGCTGTTTTAAAAGTAGCGGTGTTGTTGGCCTGATGCTATCTGACAGTTTATCCATTCAAAGTTTATTTAGCTTTAAGTGATCAGAGGTCAGAGGAGTACTCAGATCTTGTACTTAACTAAAAGTAGAATTGCTCAGATCTTATACTTCAGTAAAAGTAGAAGTACTCAGATCTTATACTTCAGTAAAAGTAGAAGTACTCAGATCTTGTACTTGAATAAACGTAGAAGTACCAGAGTGTAGGAATACTCTGTTACAAGTATAAGTCGTGCAATCAAAAATGTTACTCAAGTAAAAGTACACAAGTATTAGCATCAAAATATCCTTAAAGTACCCAAAGTAAAAGTATTCATCCTGCAGATTGGTCCATTTCAGAATAATATATATGATGTGTTTTATAATGATTGATCATGAAAGTGTTCTCAAAGCTGGTAAAGGTGCAGCTAGTTTGAATGACTTTGTATACTGCAGGGTAGCTGGTGGATTTACTCCAGGTGGAACTAAAGTCTGATTTAACACTTGATTATATTTCACATCATTCATCAAAATCTATAAAGTAAGTAAAGGTATTCAATAAATGTAATGGAGTAAAAGTACACCTACATTTACCTCTGAATTGTAGTGGAGTAGAAATACAAGTTCTATATATTTCTGTATCTTAGTGAGTATGTATATTGTATTGAGTATTCAATTTATTCAATTATGTAGATACTCTAGTGCAGTGGTTCTCAAATGGGGGTACGCGGACCCCTAGGGGTACGTTGGAGTACTGCAGGGGGTACGTGAGATTTATTTTATGTTAATGATTTTTATTTAAGGGGGTACATTATTGAAAAAAGTTTGAGAATCCCTGCTCTAGTGATATGTGTTCTTTCTATTGGGATTTTGTATATACTTGTTGCTCAAATTAATGTCTATTTTTATTTGTTTCTTATATCTTTTAAATATTTTTAACTTGTAAATCTAGTGTAATGCTTGACAACACGGCTACTTTGATAAAATGATTTACCAATTTTGGATAAATAAAGTATCTACCTATCTACGAAGTTGCATACAGTTGAAACACTAAAGTCATGAACAAGTATCTCAAAAGTATATTTGAGTACAGTACTTGAGTACATGTTCGTAGTTACTTTACACCACTGGCTTCAAGTGAGAGTATCAGTGAAGTTATCTCAGTATCAGTCGGTTACAGTGTTCGAGTGAAGCCTCTTGCACTTTGATCCATTGAGATAGATATCATGATTGAATCATCAACTTTTACCCAGATACACTTAAATCCTCTATCTCATGCTAATGTGTGTTTATGTTGTTGTGTTTATAGGCTTGGGATTCAATATAGTGGGGGGTATGGATCAGGAGTATGTGCTGAATGACAGTGGAATATACGTGTCCAAAATTAAAGACGATGGAGCGGCTGGTTTGGACGGACGACTCAATGAGGGGGACAAGATCCTGGCGGTGAGACACATATATATAATACTACTCGTACTACATTTTGAAAATACTCTGTTCCTAGTTAGTCATGCATTCATAATCTTACCCAAATCAAAGATCAGTTCAGTCCATCTTTATTGTCCCACTAGGGGACATTTGCACAATGTACCACAGAAAACACAAGAATAAAGATACATTTTTGTACAGTTGTATAAGATTGTTAGCACCTAATTATACTTAAAGTACCAAAAGTAAAAGTACTTCATTGCATGATATATAACCAATTATTATTATGATAATTGGTGTTTTAAAGTGTTCATCACAGCTGGTAAAGGTGGAGCTAATTTGCTGCTGGATATCTTAACCAGTAATCTGAATCTGTAAAAAGCTGTATACAGGGTTTTTACGGTCATTACGGTACCTGGAAAAGTCATGGAAATTCAAAATGCAAATTCAAGGCCCTGGAAAAGTTATGGAAAACAATATTTTTCCCATGTAAAAAAGTCATGGGAATGTAACTAAAGTTGCATCAAATATATTTTATCTAATAGCCGTAATAGTAATACTATAATGATAATAAATACTGTATAGTAATGAAACGTAAAATGGCATTTAACTGACGAGGTGTTTTGCTGGTGAGAGATTTTAGTTGCTTCAGCGTGTAGAAGCTTGTAAGCTATTTGATTTGTTTTAGATAGGCACAACATGTTTCAGATGCAGACCTTATTTTCATGTTCCATGTTAAAATAAACCATTTTCAGTGGTACCGCTGAGAAAGAGTAATTTCTTTGGTCATGGAAAATTAGGTAAAGGTCCTGGAAAATCATTGGTGAAAAAGTGTATGAACTCTGTGTATAAATAAAGATAAATGTAGTGCGGTTAAAAGTCTGGCTTGTAATGTGTAGTGGAGTAGAAGTATAAAGGAGCAGTCATTTGATAAAAGGTGATAAAGAATGCTTTTGTTTTCCTAGATAAACGGGGTGCAGCTGGAGGGTCTGACACACAAAGCCACGGTGGATCTGTTCAGGATGGCCGGAGAGGACGTGCAGCTCTTGGTTCTGAAAAGGGTGAGAATTAAGGATGTACCTTTTTTTTTTTTTTTAAATGACCTGTTTCTTTTTCTTCAGGTATTTTTCTTTGTTGTCAACAACAATAGAAAATGTGTCTTTGGCTCACACAACATAAAAGCTGCCCAAAAAAGTACAGCAAAATAACCATCATAGTAGAAATCTTACCACATTAACAAAGAAATACAAAACCTTTTATGCTCTTTGCACTTACTACAATCAATCACTTTTGACGTCATATTCCTTTATATATATATATACATATTTCTTTAACTTTGGCACAAACATCCACAAGGACACAAAAGAGGATTTGGTATAAAAAGTATTTCACATTTAAACACAATGATGATAGGATAAACCTTTTGGTGCTCCGTGACTTTTTTCTACCAACAAAATGTAAACATGTGGGTCACACTAAACTTAACGCCATTTTCACATTAGTAGACCTTCTGCAAACAACAAAGCCTGCGTGTGGCGTTTTACAAGTTCTACAATCTCTAGTTGTTCTCAGCTGTCACACCTTGATCAAATATATAAATATTAGCAGAGCAAAGAGAGGAAATGGTGTGTATAGTTACTCAAGGTAGGATGTTGTTTCAGGTGACGTTAATACTACTAATGTGTTCATTGTAATTGCCAGAAAGTGACATTTATAACGACATACAAACTAAATATTAATTTAAAAACATGATATTTTACACAATCTAACCTAACCCAACCCAACCCCTGCATCTACTACTCCCACACTCTCTCAAGGGTGGGATATTTAGGCAAGGCATATATTATATAGCACCTTTCAACACAAGGCAATTCAAAGTGCTTTACAAAAATGAAAGACATAAAGAGGGCATTTAAAAACATTCAAATGTATGTGATTTATACTTGGAAAAATGAATAAACCAAAACAGATCTTATTTTTCAAAGGGGATTCCCTCTATATCCTTAAAGGTCCCATGTCATGGCCATTTCCACTGATCATAATTCCATTGTTGAGGTCTACTAGAATAGATTTATACTGTGCAATGTTCCAAACTCACATTGGTTTCGCACACAGCATCTCTGTAAAGTATGTGTATTCAGCATTATTCACTCTCTCCACTAAACGGCTCGTTGCAGCTCTTGCCCCCCCCTCCCTGTGAGCCCAGTGTGCTCCGATTGGTCGGGACCAGTCGGGACGTTGTGAATCGCGCTGAGCTCCGTGGAGGTGTGATTTCCTTGTTTAGCGATACACAGCGAAACACAGCCAAACTCACCCTGAGCACACACAGTCACAGCCGAAGTAAAAACAATAAGTGTGGCTTGATATTGAGTAAGAAAAGGGTTGATAAACGCTGTGAGAATGGGTCTGCAGAGAGAATGGGTCTGCAGAGAGAACGGGTCTGCAGAGAGAATGGGTCTGCAGAGAGAACGGGTCTGCAGAGAGAACGGGTCTGCAGAGAGAACGGGTCTGCAGAGAGAATGGGTCTGCAGAGAGAATTTCGCCGCGATCCCAACTGTCTGTTATCAGCCTGCAGCCAGGGAGGAGAGATCAGTAGAGCTGCCTGCACTGAGTGTGTGTGTGAGGAAGTCTGTGGATTGGTCAATTTGGACCAATCAGCGGGGGCTTAACGTAACGGCTCCGCGGACGTAATGTAACGGCTCCACGGATTGGTCCATTTCGTTCCGGGGACGACATGACATCATGATGTACCCGGAAGAATCAAATGGACAGTGACGTATCTCCAACGAGGCGTTTTGGGGAGGTATTTTCTGTGTTAGAGTTTTACTCGCTACAGGGTGTACTTTGAGGGTTTTGACTCTGCACACCGTTTACATGCATAAAAACCTTCATAACACACAAGGGGACGGGTACTAACCGGAAAAGCATGACATGTCACCTTTAAGTTGGTGGGTGTTTTATGTATTTTCCACATGTTTTAAACAGGTAATAACAGGTGCATTTGTGCAGAAATCCCTCGGTGTGGTGCAGTTTTAATCCTCTTGTTTTTATATCTGTGTTTCCTGCAGCCTCCTCACTCAAACGGACCGCTGGGCTCAGGGCCCGATCCCAACGCTCCGCTCTCGGCTCTGGGGATCCTGGTTGTTTTAGCCGGAGCTGCAGCCCTCTGTGCTTTCATTTACATGCGGCAACAAAGGAGGCCCTTTTAACACAGCCTGTATAATAAATCATTTTTTAAAGATGAAAAAAACATTGCTAGAGGCCAAAGAAAAGAAAGAGGGAACAAACCATAGAAGTTTTTTTTGTTGATTAGCAGCTGTTGGACTTTCTCTATAAAGGGATGGTAGCTTCTTCACACCCTTCCCTATGTAAACGAACGTACCCTAAATAGTGATTGTAAGGAGCAGAGGAAGGAAAAGCATTCCTGCTGCCGGGCTGAGCTCAGGCAGAAACACACGGCCGCCGTACACAGAAAAAGTTTATGCAGAAAAATATAAATCCTCAAGCTTTAGGGTCAATTTACAAACAGAAAAACAAACATCTAAGTGGAAAACGCTTTACTTTCAGTTTGTTTGGGTTAAAATAGGTATGGTTTTCATCTTGCACTGTTGCTCAGAATCATGGGAGGAGTTTAAAAAAAAAGCCTGCAGCTAATGCGATGAATTGAAATGGACTTCAGTGCTTTCTACCCATTCCAATTATCATGATACAAATGAAAATCAACACCCATAATGGTGCAGGGTTGAGTCCTAAAAAACAGAAAATGCTCTATGGCACAGAGGCATAATATCAGGCGTTATTTCTTAGTAAAATCACTTTATTCTTGGTATTCAGTGAGAAAAATATAGATTATCACCAGATGTATCCTTTAATAAAGCAACATATCACCAGGTATTTTCACGTTTAGTTCATTATTATACAGTGTCACGCGGTCACTCAGGGTGAACCATCAAATCTTTATATGAGAAACAAATAATTCCTTAAGTATATATTATAAAGCGCTTTTGTAATGGAGGAACATTCTTGTGAAGGATTGACAACTTGACACTAAGTGCAGTTTGAGCCAGTTCAATGTAAAGGAGAGTTTTTTTTTTTTTAAAGATTAGTTGCTGTCAAAAATGTTTTTTTGCACTAGCCACAATCATGGAGCTCCTGCAGTAACTTCCATAGAAAAGATGAATGAGTGAATGGTCCACATTTGTAGTTTGCAGTGCAAACATCATGTGTTTGTGTCTGACTGTACGTTGCTCCTCTTTGTAAATAGATGTCATGTCGCTCTGCCGAGTGGGGTTGTGAATATGTGCATTATACCAGAAAAAAACACAGATCAGAAGCACTAATGAATAAATTATGCAAAATATTGTGATTAACATTTAAGGAACCTACTGTAATAAAATTCATGTTGAATTCATCTGTTCCAGGCTCATTTGGTGTTTTTTTTCAATTAATACACACATAATGTACCAAATAAATTATGAGATAAGCATGTTTTCTCATAATGCTAATAATAAGGCAAAATGTTAACTAAATACATGACGAAAATTGGATTTAGAACAATAGTTTTATTGGACTAATGGTAGATTTGGAGACAGCTAAATGCATAAAGTTAGCTAACGGTAGCATAATACCAGATGTCAGTTTACCTTCAAAATAAAAGTCGACGTTGTTGCGACAAAAACTCCTTTCTGAGTATAATTATATTTTACCATATTAGTAAATCTGCTTTTATTAGTATAATATATTGGAGGGATAACGTAAATTAATGTTGTAAACCTAAACTGCTTGTATACACGTTATAACGGTTAGAACAAAGTGCTTTTAGAATTCTAACGGTTTTAACGGTAGGTTCTCGTGCCTCAGAACCACACTACTGGGGTTACATCAGGCATTTTGTGTCTGGTTGACAGAAATTGTGTTTAAGTGATCAAATGTGGTCCTGTCCGTCCTGTTCACCCCCACCAGTAGCATCCCGTCTCCATCAGCTGTCGGAGGATGTTGCCTCGGAGGCAGATATGATGTAATCCCCACCAGGAGAGAGGGAGGGGGGCAGAGCTGGAGAACAGCCGCACAGCACGGATGGATCTCGGCTTAAACTTCATTTAATAATAACGGCTATTTAGAATAACGGTTAGTAACGGATCCGTGTTGGAGGAGTCATGCCGAGGAGAGGAGGCTGGATGCTGAACCCTCATCTGCCGGGAATGCTGCTATAATTAACCCGGTTCTCTCCCACCATCCTCCAGGAGAAAATGACCCGCACTCCGCCTCCATCGTCGATATCTCCCCGCCCCAGCTGTCGCCTTTTCCCGCCCGGGATGACCGTGATCCCCGCTCCTGTAGGCCCTTATCGTGGATAATTTAATCACCTCTAAAGCGTCTTTAATGATATTTTGACCTGCTGTGGTGGCTTTTATTTCGTGAATACACCTTTAACCAGAATTGGATGTAGTTTTGGGGATATTTTCCTTGCTTTATTCGCTTGTTCCAGCCACCCTGCGGGGGGAATGATCAGCCTCCATCCCTGGAAGTCCTGACAACCAGAAAACGTGGAGGAGGAGGGAGGGGGGGGGGGGGGGGTGGACTCTTCCAGTTCAGGTTTAAACCATGGCCAATGAACCTGTCATCCTCAACGTGTATAATATGGTAAGAAATCACTTTTTTATTCAGTTTTATTTACTGTTTCTGGCTCTTTGTAACCTGACACCAGCAGAGGAAGTGAATGCACCACCAGAAATAGCAGGCACCTGTTTGTTTCAGTGCACTTTCATGAGACACTGCAGGCAAAAACATGTTAATGCACTGCCCAATTCTGAGATTTCTGTGCTGGCTATTATGCTTTAATATAATGTCTTCATTCAGACTAGTGAAAAGAAAGCATCCAAAGTCCACATTCAGGAGTTTATTTTACAAACTTTGTCTGTTTGTGTCTGCAGATGTATCCAAATCCACCAAAAGTTAGCATTAGATAATGCCTCTTGCATTTCTAAATAAAGCATTTCAGAAAACAAGTAATACAAAAAATAATTCTCTTAATGTAAGTTCTAAACTGGGGAAGTTTCATGTTAATACCTGTCCATAAATACTGTCAACAGACATGCAAAGAAATCATGTTTTTAGTAATAAATTGTGTATAAATGAGTGTGTGAATGATGTGTGAGCATCAAACTCTGTAAAAAGCTTCGACATATAGAGAGGAAAGAAACTGGAGAGTTTGGTGTGTGTGTGAGTGCTATTGAAGTATCTGAAATGTTATGATTAAATGTGCAAGAGTTATGTAATGCTAACTTTAGGTGCATTTATGAGAACATCTGCAGAAACAAACATTCAAAGCTAATAAAACAAATTCCTGAATGTGGATGTTTTCTTTCAACTATATCGCTAGGAGACCAGTGCACTGAGTTTTCCCTGTAGTATCTCGCCTTAAATTGACAGATTTTTGAATATGAGTTTAGTGAGCACAGCACAGTCTCATCCATCTTCAGTGATTGGATAAAAGCCTGGCTAACTTAATGCCTCTGAAACAAGAGCTTCCCTCTGTCACTGTGCCTACTGCTCTCATGATGCACACACACATACAATAACACAAATGTGCACATAAACACACACCACGGACAAAGCTGCTCATTCAGACCTGTGCCCACTGCCTGCTCTCTCTCCCTGAACAGCCTCAGTGGAAATAAATAAGATTATGCAACCTGTGGCTGCAGAAACACAGAGTATCTTTACTACAGCTGCCACAATATAAAGCACGTTACCACATGTTTGCAGTGACTTTGTCAGCAGTAAAAGGAATCATGCACATTATTGCAGCAGTAATATGAATCCAGAAACATCTCGTAACAAAGACTAAAAACATAAATACTCCTAAGACATAAGTATAAAGTGTGAAATTGGAAAATTATATAAATACAATTTGATTGATTGATTAAAAACACCAGCAGGGACATTTCTGCATATAAAAGGCTACCTGTCATTTTATGTAAATAAGGTTTTAAAGTGGAGTATTTTCTACAGTGCTTTTACTGCAGTAAAGTAACTTCTCCCATCACTGGCCCCGAGTGGCAGCGGCTCTAACATCAGATGTATCTCCGCCGTGTCTCTGCTGAGAGAGGAAGTGATCAGTCAGCCTTAAATACTTCTTATACCGAGAAATAAACACAGAGAAGCCGTAACATCCGCCGGAGAGTGAATCAGTGAGTGGGGGGGGGGGTATCGATCGTCTTCAGTATGAAATCAATTTGACTGCATGGCTCGCTGCAGCAGTGTCAGCATGCACATCATCACAGGAGTGTTTACAGCTACAAACGATAGGCTGCTGAAATAATTTTCTCTCCCATAAAACCCCAACCCCCCCTGCCTGAAACGCCTCCATTGGACTCCTTTGTTTACTTCAGTAACATGGTGACATCATTATGTGGACCGAATCACACTGTACATGATAGGCTAAGGGGCGGGACATCTCTAAGCGGTTGACCAATCACAACAGAGCCGGCCAGCTAACCAATCAGAGCGGACTGGGCTCTGGTTTCAGACAGACAGGCAGTATGAGAACAATAAAGAGCTTTTTGAACATTAAAGCATGGAGACATGTAGAGACACTACATGCTGATATACACCTGAACATCAGCAGGAGAGGACTCTTTAAAGTAGAGACACTACATGCTGATATACACCTGAACATCAGCAGGAGAGGACTCTTTAAAGTAGAGACACTACATACTGATATACACCTGAACATCAGGCAGGAGAGGACTCTTTAAAGTAGAGACCACTAACCTACTGATATTACACCTGAATTATCAGCAGGAAGAGGACTCTTTAAAGTTAGAGGACACTACATACTGATTATGCACCTGAACATCAGCAGGAGAGGACCTCTTTAAAGTCGAGACCACTACATTTACTGATATTACACCTGGAATATCAGCTAGGAGGAGAGGACTCTTTAACGTAGAGGACACTACTATCCTTGATATACACCACTGCAACTCAGCAGGAGAGGACTCTTTAAAGTAAGAGGACACTACTATACTGATATACACCTGAACATCAGCAGGAGAAGACTCGTTTAAACGTAGCGACACTACTATTACTGATATACACCTGAACATCAGCAGGACTGAGGCCTCTTTTTAAGTAGAAGGACACTACAT